AATGTGCTTTACACAATTGATGTATGTATGGATTGTGATAAGAGTTGTATGAGCCCCTAATAAAATGATTAAAAAAAAAAGGCAACAAATGTACAAATGTGCTTGACACAATGGATGGATGTATCGATTGTGACAAGAGTTGTGAGCCCTAAGAAAATGATTTTTAAAAGTTTGCGTGGCTGACAGGGAGAGTTGGCTACCAGGGGTTTTCTGTGTTCCCAGGAGGTGATTCTGGGTTTACGCAAATGATTGATTCATAATTGAGACCGAGATGAGTGTGGCGGATATAAGTATGTAATTGTGACCTGTTCTGATTGAATTAAGGCAGCCTATTCTCACTGATAGGAGCCCTGGTGGTTTAGTGGTTACACACTAGGCTGCGGTCCTCAAAATCATCAGTTCAAAACCACCAGCCAGCTCCATGGGAGAAAGACAGGGCTTTCTACTCCCATAAATAGTTCGTGTAGGAAACTCCCAGGGGCAGTTCTACCCTGTCTTAGAGGGTCACGGTGAGTCAGCATCGACTCGATGGTAGTGAGGTTTGCTTTCGTTTGTTTATTCCGATGAGTTGGAATCAAACTGCAAAGGGTTTGCTTATTTTTGATTTTCCATTCCCAATGATTTGTTTTAAGTAGGTTTTATTATAAACTCAACTTATAACAAGCTAAAACTAGTATCTTTAATACATTGTTACATGTTATGGTTCCATATTTCTTTTGGGGGGCAGGAGCTACTACTGCTAGAATAATGTGAAGACCCGCAACTCCGCTGGTCCACCCAGTGACAGTGCTATGTGCACCTGTTTGTTGTGAGCTGGAGTCAAGTCGGCTTTGACTCCTGGAGAAAAGAATGCAGTATTGGCCAGCCCACTTACCTCTTTACAATGCCCAATATCTTGAAGACTGGTTATGGAGAATGGTGAAGAAAAATAACTCCCCAGTAATGCTGCTCAAAGATCCAGGTTCATATTTCCTAAGACTACAGCTCTTGTGGCCAAGGCCTGGGGCTGCAATTCTCAGCAGTCCTCCTTAACCAGCCCTCCTCCTAGACCAGGTCCACACAGGATCTAGCAGCTGCCCTGTAGCGAGACCCCCATGTGATGGGAGGCCAATACATTGTGGGCAGCGCCATGTTATTCCAGCTGAGGGCTTCTCCCCAAACTTGCTGCCTGCCTTCTTAAGCAAAGCTGTGCCTGACAAAGTAATAAGGACCCCCTTACTCCTTGATTCTTCCTCTTAAAAGACTAGAACTAGTCCCAGTCAGCTCCCAGCTTTCTTTAGAAGAGAATAAGAAACAACCCTACTCTCTTTTTTCTACTAAAAAATCTTGCAAGTGATTTGCCATTTTAGTCTTCTGATTTGAGGCTCTTTCCCCTCCAGTTTTCTCCGCTCCTCCTCTGTTCCATACTTTTGGCTGGGGCAGGGAATTGGGGTGGATACAGTTTAGGGGGCACCTTATGAACTATGGGATCAGAACTACATTCCATTTCCCAAGGTGGTTCTTTCTCAAGAGTTCTTCCTTCCTCTCACCTCATGAAAGTCACGTGGTTTCTTCTGCTGCCTTATAATCTCCTTCTGCTCTCTGAAATACAGGCAAGAGACTGATGGCCTTTCTAGTCTGGTGTGGCTGGCATAGGGAGGGATGGGGATGACTTATTATATAATGATGCACATTGGGTTGCTATGAGTTGGAATTGATTTGCAAGCACGTAACAACGCACTGAATGTGTACCTTGTGCAGGGAACGTTCACATACGTGCATCCTAGCTAACTGACCTCACTTCAGACCAGCATGGTAAAACAAACCTGTCCAAACTCAAAATTGAACGCCTTCGAATAAATTCCGACTCATATCGACCTTATTTATATAGGGCAGTCTGGTGGGTTTACAAGACTGTAACTGTTTACAGGAATAGAAAGCTTTTTCTTCCCTCCCAAAAGTGGGTTGAAGAGCGTGTTTAGCTTGTTTCTCTCTACCTTACATTATTCAACCTCCAAGGTGCCGAAAACACTCGGCTACTAGCACTTGACATTGAAATAGCCTTGGGGCCCACGGAGTCCTCAGCAAGGCTCCAAATAGAGAACATAACTCCGAAATCAAGATCCTGTTTCTTAAAAGGGCGCACGGAGAGGAAAAGGAGGGAGGAAAGGCCGTTTTCCTAGAAGCCAGAGAAGCCCTACACTGCAAGCCGTGCTGCATCCGTGCGCCAGTCCGGATACTCTGCTCCCATTTTGTAGACTCCAGCCTCCTTCCCCCGCCAGCACGTGGACCCCGTTTTTCCCCCCGTCCCGCCTTCGGCAGGTCCCAGGAGGAGAGTAGGCCTGGGAAGACGGGCTGCCTCTCCGCACCCCGCAGTCGCCACAAAGACCCCCTTCTCCCACCCCCATCCTCACCTCTCACCCCCTCTTTAAGCCCGATCAGCCCCTAAGGCGGGTCGACGCGGGCTCGGCCGAGCTCAGGAAAAGAAAGGGACCGAGGAGCGGGGCTCCCCAACGCCCGTGCGAGGCGCACGCGGCGCCGGCTCCCGGTCTGCGGCCGCGCCATCTGCTTCCAGG